GTCATCCATTTACTGTCTAGGGTTTCTACCAAGTTTGTGTGTCAAGCAGCAAGGATGGACCGGCTTCCAGCAGTTCTCAACCTTATGGCCCTTTAAATATAGTTCCTCATGTTGTGACCCAATCATAAAATTATTTACGTTGCTACTTCATAACTGTAATGTTTCAACTGTAATGAATCATAATGTAAATATCTGAAATGCAGGATGGTCTTAGGCGATCCCTGTGAAAGGGTCGTTCGATCACCAAAGGGGTCTCGACCCACAGGTTGAGAACCGCTGGTGCAGAGGATCTACTTAATACAAAGTCACAAACCCAAACAGACAGCCAAAATGAGGAGACAAAGAAACAAACCCCCAAATGAAAAAACTAGAGAATTCTCCAGAAGAAGAGATAAATGAAGCAGAGATAAGAAATTTATCTGTAACAGAGTTCAGAGTAATGATGGTAAAATAATATCTACATTGTCTGTAGGATGAAAGTGCAATAAAATGTTTCTGAGCATTTGACCTTATATATTCTATCAAATGATATAGTCAAATACTTAGAAAAAAATCAGGAGAAAATTAGATTGATAAGGAACTAAAACTGAAAGTAAATGAAAGGTGCTATGATATCCACTTTTCAAGACAGTATAATCTGGCTTGTGTTACTTTCTAATTATCAAATCACTTATCAAACTAGAAATGTAATTTATACTAACAAGGTAAGAATTTACAGGTTGTGTGACTCTTGGTCTAAGAATAAATTGCAAAAAATAAAATTCTGCTATATTTATAAGGTAATCAATAAATCCAAAAGTAAAACCTGGTGTCTATCAAAGAACAATATTTTTAAAAAATCTGATATGGCTATTAAGCAAAACTATGAACATTTATTTTTAGATCAGAACCATATATTTTTCTAGATTTAAGTAAGCCATATTCACAATTAATACTTTGTATTTCATTTAAAAGAACAAAAGCTACAATTCCCACCAATGGAAAATGAGATAACTATTTCATAGATATTTTAGTCTGTAATAATCTCTTCTATACCTCCCCAGGATGTTCCAATATGAACAAACTTATATTTTCAGTAAAAAGGACAAAGCATCAATTATAAACAAAATAGAAGATTACCACACTGAGGTCATACCATTTAGTCAAGTACCAAGAAAGTTAAGTAGGTTTAACTGAAACTTAGCAAAAGAGTAATTTCTAATTTCATTACCCAGTGAAAATAATCGTCATTTATACACTCTCATTTACAATAGGAAACATGTATGAATTGTGAATACTTAGCAAAAATGTCTCCATAATTGCACTTTGAATGCCTTCATGATTTAACAATGAATTTACTCTTCAACAAAACTTAATGAAATATTAAAATTCTTTCATGAATCAATCATGCAGTAAGTAATGAAAAACACTTTACCTACTTAACATAGATTAGTAGTATACCAGCTAAAATATAACTGTCACTTCTCCACATTTGAGACTGTTATAGAAGAAAATTGCAAGCATTTGTTCATTTTAGTTGGGTAAAACAGACTATTACTGGAGAGATGGAAAGTTGTACAATTGGCCATCAAATGCTTTCCCCCAAGGATCTGGCCTTCCAGAGTTTAGTCTTTTTTTGACCTTAGGACTTTTCCGTGTTCCAACCCCCTACATTGTACACCCAACTTCCATTGCTCTGGAAGTTATTCGAATGGCTAGGCAAAACATTTTATTCCAACATTTAGTTCTACTTCATTTCTTCCAGTTATTAAAGAGTTTTTTCTCAAAAGGACAAATACAATTAACCAGGGCTTATGGTAGTTGTAACTTGAATTGATTCCATTTTGTTTTCTCTGTTACTTTTTGTTATTCCTTTTAAAATCTAGGCTAAGATTCTCAAAAAGCAATAAACAATCATATGAAAAATGTAAATTATATTAAGGCCATGTAAATTAATCTTTCAAAATACAGTGTTATCAAGGGTAGAGAAGAAATAAGGAGAATCATTTAAAATGTGTTTCAATTTCATTTGAAAGTATGAAAGGTTAAGTTTCATACTTAACAATAGTGATTTAGCAAAGAAAAAATTTAAAAACAGAGCAAACTTTCATTAATTTAATGGTGTATATTTTTTCTAGTTATATTGGAAAATTATCCATGATTTTTTTTTAAATTTCAGGAATTTGGAATAATAGTCATCAAATTACTGGTTAAAAAATCCAGTAATAATCTAAATTTAAAAGCTGATTAAGACAGAATAAAAGTCAATTATAAACATTGATGCATTTGTGCTTGAACAGCAAAAATAAACACAAAACATAAAACAAAAAAATAGCTTTGTCTCCCTGGCCAGTGTGGCTCGGTTGGGCATTCCTTGGGAGGAGGTTGTGCAGGAGGCTGCTGCTGATGTTTCTCTCTCCCTCTCCATTCCTCTCTCTCCAAAATAAAAAAAATGATTTTTAAAAAAATAGCATTGCCCATCGTATGACACTAAATAAGGTATTTTTGGCTTGTAAGCATGTTAAGTAAACTTGGTTTCCCTGCTTTTACTATTATGCATCACATGTGAATGCAGAGATTTAAACAACTTTGAATTAAAAGAAACACAAAATCTTTATTCTATACTTTCTTCTGTAGTACTTTGTTACCAGATTTGTGATGCAATTTTTTAAAAGGATGTTTCATATACAACAAATTAATGCTAGCTTGGTCAAAGTCATCTAAAAAAATCTCCCTCACATTTTACAATATAATATACAAAACTATAAAATATGTCAAGGTGGAAACTCTCTGGAATTTCTTAAAGTATTAGAAAGTACAACATGGCTAAAGAAAGCATTATAAATAAATAGCATTTAAGCATTCTGTAACATATGGTGTTCTTAGTGTAACTGGAGTGCAACTTATCTATATATACACATGAAATTTTTCAGAGGCAGGTGAAGTAAACAAAAGCACCAGTTCTTTAAATTACACTTGATCACGCAGACGAGCAAGTCTCTGTGATAGTTCATCCTGAAGAAAGTTAAAATTTAAAAGTTAGAAGGCTGTGACAAATATAAATCACCAATATTTTAAATAGCTCATATTTTAAATAAGATTAAAATACTGTCTAAAAATTCACACAAAAATAACATTGAGAATATAATTTTAAAAACATTTCAGAATAAATGGAGAACTAAATAAAACAGAAGCTATGAAGGGAAGCAAATTCAATCTTTAAATGAAATGTGCATGCAAAGAGAAAATGTCCATCATTGAGGAGTAAAGGCTAAACACAGTTTGCTAATTTATGATGATGTCATACTATAGTAGAAAGCACTCTTTATAAAAAATATATATATTACTTATATATAAATATATATACAGTATCTATTTAATTCACACATCAAGTACATACTAATCAAGACAAAATACAACTTCTACCTGTTCCATGGAAGCAACACTGGTGCCAACAGATCCTGTCTGACCCTGTGGTAGTTCCATATTGAGATCAAGGCTACAATTTTAAAATAATTAGCATAAATAGATGTTAATATAGGCATTTTACTCCTTATATAATTATAAAAGTAATAGAACAGAATTATTGCAAATTTGAATATTCCACCTAGCATTTTACCTTGATTTAAATAAGATAATACTGGTTAAATTTTATGCATGTAAATAGAAAAGCTAATAAAAGGCAGGAAAATGATTGGTCATCTGAACAAAAGACCAAAATAAAAATCATACAATGTACTCAATTTACTGAGGTTACCATATGACTCCTATTATAAAAGAAATTTAATATGCCAAAAAAGATAAAACAGGTTAGATAAATGTAGCCTCAAGATCCACATCTAACATTTGAGTTAACTTCAAGTTCAGTATTCTAGCTTCTGAGCTACCCTTGGCAGGAATCATTACTTGCATCCATCTCATACAACTGAAGTTTAAAAAAAATTAAGTTCACTTGCCCAAGATCCACCCTACTAACAGGATCTGAACCCAGGATTTTCTGCCTCCAAGGCCTGTGATGTTAATCTACATTGTACCTACTCCTATAAGGTATAAGCTAGCCTTTCTGCTTGTATCTACACCAGTGTATGCCAACTTCAGTTTGAAAACAAAACAGAGAACTCAGTAACTTTAAAAGTCATTAGGAGAGTCTATAGACAGATTGTTACTTAAAAGGTAAAGATATGCTATACTAAAATTTTGTTGAGGGAATCACAAACAGAATTCGGACACTTAAATATCTTTAAAGATGGGCATCAGTATTTCTACATCAGTGATTCTACCTATTTCTACTGCTCCAGTCACCATCTATTATTGACATAAGTAATTTCTCTTGGTTTTGGCCCTCAACCTTCCCTCCACCCACCTGTCCCCAGAAACATCCGACAATGCCTGGATGCATTTTTTTACTGTCACAACGGGGTAGGGATGTTATCTTATGGGTAGAGGCCAGAGATGTTTCTGAACATACTACAATGCATTGGACAGCCCCAAGGATTATGAATCCCAAAATGTCAATAGTGTCAAGGTTGAGAAATCCTGTTTTAAATCTTCTCAAAAAGCTATCTAATAAACTTGATCTCCACTAAGAGTCAGCAAGGCTGTAATGTAGCAATATTCATTTTATAAGACATTTGTTGTCCTTTCAAGACCAATCTTCTTATTTGGTTTTTAGTAAGAACAGAAATAAGTCCTTAGCTTCATGTTACTAAGATGGAGTCTTCTGATACACAATGCTTTGGTCTCTTAACTACTTAACAAAAATCACCTACATCAGTAAACAAAGCAAAACAGTGTACAACCTACTTGCCAGTCCTATTCTCAAATATGACAAATCTGATTTATTAAACTGGGTTTTAATTCACTATTGACACATTAGTGATTTAAAGAGCTGTTAAACTTAACTGTTCATTCTAATCAAGTATTAGCTTACACATTAAAATAATATTCATCAACTCTATTTTCTATGTGTTTTCAATTCTTCCATTTCCAGGAGAAAAGGATAGAGTACATAAATCCTATTTTAATTTATTATTCTACCTTTGAGGATAAAGTATAAAACTTCAGTATCACCCAGTTTTCATATTTATTATTGGGAAAAAAATTATTCTTTACCTACAATCGTCTCTTGAACTAAATACAGTGGGACCTTGGTTCTTGAACTTCATTCATTCCAGAAGTCTGTTCGAGAAGTGATTTGTTCAAAAACGGAATCATTTTTCCCCATTAGAAATAACGTAAGTTGAATGCATCTCTTCCAGACTCCCAAATGATTCCCCGTTTTAACCGTTCTCAATTGCCTGTGATCACCTTTTCGTGAGTACTTCCACACCCATAACAACATCAGCACTCTTGATGGCTGCTTTGTTTTAAAATTGTACTAATTATCAATTTCACAATGCCATACTTGGTAGCCAGATCAGACACTCTATCATACTATGCCATTAGTTTTCTTTTTTAAGCTCTAACATTGTTTTCACAACTTTCCTTTTCACTTTGCTGCTATCACTAACCTTCTTAGGACCCATGAGGGCTTACTGTACACATTTAATAATAAGCAGTAACAAAAGCAAAGACAAAAAAAGAAAATATTCACAGCACAATTTCCTGAGATCTTAACAATGCAAGGTTTAGCAGTAAACTGACTCATACTTGCACATTCTCTCCTTTGTTTGTTGCCCGAAAGACACATGACTGATCATACAGGTATCTGCATGAAAGGTCTGTCAGGTCGAGAACCGAACTTTTGAAATTTTGTATGACAAACAAGACATTTTTTTCATGAACAACTTGGTCAAGAACTGTTCGAGATGGAAGATGTTTGAGAATTGAGGTTTGACTGTTATATACTAGAGAATACTGATATAACATGACTTCTATAGCACAGACATTATCATGGGCAAGTCATTCCCCTCAAACATTAAGGTCCTGAAATAAATAGTTTATTAATATATATCCTATTTCTAATAACAGTATGATACAGGGTGTCAATTACTTATTTAAAAATATATATATGATCACCCTAGCAGGACTGGCTCAGTGGTTAGAGTGCTAGCCCACAGACTGAAGGGTTGCAGGTTCTATTTCAGTCAAGGTGACGTACCTCCATAGCAGACTCAATCCCTGGCCCCAGTCTGGGTGTATACAGAAGGCAACCAATCAATGTGTCTCTTTCACAAGCATGTTTCTCTCTCTGTCTCTCCCCCTCCCTTCCATTCTCTCTAAAAATCAATGGGAAAAAATATCCTCAGGTGCTGCCATCTTTTAAAACCCTTGGACATTTTGCACATCTCGCTCAGTTTGCAGGACTCAAACTGAGCTTAACAAAGAAGAACTGTTTTGGAAAGACAATTTTTGTAAAAAGAATCCAAATATTTGCTATATCTGATACATACAGAAGGTATTGAGAAAATGTTTGAACACTCCTGCCTCTCTCAATTACCTTCCTCCATTTCTTATTACAAAATAAATGAATGCATTGCTAGAGATTTTTAAGAAAATACTAGAATGATCTGAACAAAGTCACATTCTTATGAGCATGGCAGAGATGGATATTTCAAAGGCCCTTCCAACACTAACTTCTAGGGTCAAAACCATAACTCTACCATTGGTGGCAATGACAAATATTTTTATCCACACTACATAATTTTAGAGCTGACAGATATTAAATCAAGATTAACTAAATCCCCTGAACAATTTCTTACCCAGCTTCATCTGCCATTTCTTGAAGCAGCATATCCACTTGGCTCTAGAATAAGAATATGAGAATTTGCATTTTAATGACAATTGTTTTCGGGGTGGTTTCTGTTTTTGATTTTGCTTAAAAAGGGGAAACTGGTCTGCAATTTTTAAAATAAAAACTTACTTAAAAATATTTTTACCACCAGAGGGAGCTGATTTCAAAAAGATTTATTTCAGAATAATGTTAAATAATAAAGCCTTAAACTATGAGGTTATATTAAAAATATCAGCATGGATGGCACTAGAGAAGATTATGCTAAGTGAAATAAACCAGTCAGAGAATGACAAGTACCATATGATTTCACTCATATGTGGAATTTAATGAACAAACTGAACTACAAAGCAAAATAGAGACAGACTCAGAGAGAGCAGGCAGACAACTCTGGTTGGGGGGTGGGGGTGGGGGAGAGGTAGAATGTTGGAAAGGATGGAGGGTTTGAACAAAAAAGAAAAAAATAGGAGAGAACTCATGGGCATGAACAATAGTGTGGTGACTGTGGCGGGAAGGAGGGTGTGTGGAGGTGGAAGAGGGCATAGAGGGGATAAATGGTGATGGGAAAAAAAATTGAGTTCCCAGGCATTTATGTGCTGGGGTCCAGCCCCAGCAGGTCCAGGGGTTCCTATAGGTGTGGACAGAGTCGGCGAAGAAGAAGGAAAGGCACTCCTGTTAATCCCTCACCTGGGGAAACAACCTTTCTTGGGGAGGTGACCTTGGTTAAAACACATAGCTCTAAGAAGGGGAGCAAACATATTAAGAACAGTATGCCATATATGCCAGGTCCCTTGAAACATATGCTGTGCAGATGTTTCTTCCCTGTAGCAACTGTGTCAAGCAGCAAGGATGGACCAGCTTCCAGCATTTATGTAGTGATATTCACATATAATTTGAAACCTGGGTAATGTAGCTCTCTTTAAGAAAGTGAACCAATATATAAAGCTCTTTAATTTCTTTTAGAAAATATTTTACTGATTTCAGAGAAGGAGGAAGAAGGAGAGAGAGATAGCAACAACAATGATGAAAGAGAATCATTGATCAGCTGCCTTTTGCATGCCCCAGACTGGGGATGGAGTCTGCAACCCGGGGCATGTGCCCTGACTGGGAATCAAACCTGACTGGGAATCAACCATTTAGCCACGCCAACTGGGCTATAAAGCTCTTTTCTAACCCACTTTGCTTATATTTGAAGTGTAATAGATTTGAATTTTATATTAATTATAATTGTTCTTTCTGCTAGTTGACACAACTTCTATATTAAGGGTTACTCTTTAAAAATATTTACAGATGAATAAAATATAAGTATAGTGAGATATTTACTACAGTATAGTTCTCAGGAAATAGAGTGTCATTAATCAAAACAACTCTTGTTTTTTACTTAGTTGTTAAGAAATATTTTGGACTTACTGGTGGGAGTTCTAAGACATAGTTCCAGCGCTATCATTAACAAGGTGTATGATTTTAAGCAACTCACTAATCTTGCTGTTAGGCTTTAGTTTCTCTTGTTCTCTTTCATTCACTTATTAATTTTTATTTATTTTTTCCCTTTTTATTGAATTTATTGGGGTGATCCTAAAATGCAGGAAAAGTTCAGAAACAATAGATTGAATATTATGTGCATTTACATTTTATTGTTTTTACTTTATATCTAACAGCATTATTTGTTTTTAAAACTTAATAGTATTATACTATACATACTATTCTGGAACTTACTTTTCTTATTCAAACTTGTAAGATCTAATTCTGTTGAGATCTAGTTCATTCACGGTCACTCATTGTGATACTACAGTATAGAAATACATTCTGTTTCATTTATCCATTAATTGCTGGACATTTAGATCCCCCCTAATTTGTCCCAGTTATAGATAATGGTGCCATGAACATTCTCATGTATAAATATCTTTGTACATACACACGGGTTTCTTTGTGTATATATTTGGAAGTAAAAGTACTAGCTTATAAGTTAAATGTATTTTCATATACTTTGATTACTTCAACAAATACTGAGAACTATTTTATGCCAGATATCACTTTAAGTGCTAGGAATGCATCAATGAACAAAAATGATAAAAAATCCTGCCTTTTTTTAAATTGATTTTTAGAGAGAGAGGAAGGGGGAAGAGAAGAATAGGGGAAAAGGGTTGGAGAAAGAGAGAAATACCAATTTGTTGTCCCACTTATTTATGCATTCATTGGTTGATTCTTTCATGAGCCGTGACCAGAGATTGAACCCACAATCTTGGTGCATAGGAACAATGCTCTAATGAACTGAGCTACCTGGCCAGGGCTATCCTTGCCTACTTTAAGCTTACATTCTAGAGCAGTGGTTCTCAACCCCTTTGGCGGTCTAACGACCCTTTCACAGGGGTCACCTAAGACCACCCTGCATATCAGATATTTACATTATGATTCAAAACAGTAGCAACATTACAGTTATGAAGTAGCAACGAAAATAATTTTATGGTTGGGTCACAACACGAGGAACTGTATTTAAAGGGCCAGAAGGTTGAAAATCACTGTTCTAGAGTGTGCACTTGAAGGGGAGCAAATAAAAAGTTTTAAAAATCGTATGGTATATTAGAAGGTGATAAGTACTATGAAGAAAAATAAAGCAGGGATGTGGGGCATATAGGGAATGGTGGGTACGCTCTTGATGTACTTTTTTTTTTTTAAATATATTTTATTGATTTTTTACAGAGAGAAAGGGAGAGAGATAGAAAGTCAGAAACATCGATGAGAGAGAGACATCGATCAACTGCCTCCTGCACATCCCCCACTGGGGATGTGCCCGCAACCCAGGTACATGCCCTTGACCGGAATCGAACCTGGGACCTTTCGGTTCGCAGGCCGACGCTCTAACCACTGAGCCAAACCGGTTTCGGCTCTTGATGTACTTTTAAGTTGGATGGTTAGGAAGACCTCATTTAGAAAATGACAAAGAACTGAAGAAGGTGGGGAATTGGCAATGAGGATATCTGCTAGATGGAGGAAGAACATTCAGGCAAAGGAAACTGAAAGAGGAACAGCTTTGAGAAAGAAATGTACTTGGTGTGTTTGAGAATTAACAAGGAGGTCAAGTGCCTGATAGAGTGCTAAGCAGTAACAGCAGATACGGTCAGAGAAGCAGGGAGGGGCAGATCCCATAGGATATTACAGGCAAGTGTAAAGAATTTGGTTTTTATTTTTAGGGAGATGTGGAGCCACGAGAAGATTTTGAGCAAAAACGTTGCATGACCTGACAATTTTCACAGGATCACTCTGGCTGTTATGTTAAAAACAGACTGCAGATATTACCAAATTGCCTTTCCAAAGTGGATATGCCCATTTAAATTCGAACTGCTCATTAGCAGGTTATGAAAATGTAGGTAACTAAGTGTGTTCAACCAGATCCCTTTCTGTTTCTGTTAGAATGTTTTGCATATATTTGACTATCCTCAGCACCTCGCACAATACCTTAAACACAAGGTGTTCAGCAAATGTTGGGTGAATAAATCTGAAGATTTTTCAGAAGTAAAAGGCATTTTCATATCATTGGTTCCAAGCCTTACATTTTATAGCTACATATACTGAGGCCCATGGTTGTAAATATTTTAAGGTGCCAAAGTTAGTTAGTGGTAGAATGGGGAATAGAAATCCAAGTGTCCTGGATTCTAAGATGGCTGCTGACAGAACAGCAGCCTGCAAGATAGTGTGTGAGTGAGAGAACAAAAGGAGAGTGAGTGGATGTGCGGGGAGTGTATGTATTTGTGAGGGAGGGATAGCTATATTCCAAGGAATTATTGGGGACTGCCGGACCGGGCTCCCCTAGCCGGGCAGCCTCTAATGCTGGTGAAATCTCTCCCGTAACGGCTGGCTCTGCACAGAGACTGTGCTACCTTGAAGGGGAGAGTGGCAGTGATCTGAAGCACAGCCTTAACTTCAACCGGGGAGATCCTCGGATACCTTCTGGGACCCTACAACCACAACCCCCAGGGACCAGTTACCTCAGCTGCAAACCCAGGAATACCAAGACTCCAGCTTCTCCGACTGCGGGCACCTAGGTCTGTCTGTGCTAGGGTGAGGGACTGTGGCATGGAAGGGTTACAGAATGTTACTGAATGTGCTAAGGAGAGAAAATGGGACATGAGAAATTGAATGTGCTGGGAGGGGGGACTGACGTATGGAGGATTGTGTCAGGGTTAGGAACCATGGAAGAAAAATTGCTAGATTGTCTTAGAAAAACAATGTGTTATGATACGCTCCAGCCAGGTGTGACTCTGTTTACCACTCCCTCTTTGTTCTTATGAACTTTCTATGAACTTCTAAGGTAACACTGTTGTGCTATAAAGGATCATACTGCACCCTTGATCTCTGCCACATGCTCCGAAGCTCCCAGAGGGGGAGATAGGTACTGTGGTCAGCTGGCCAGCTTAATAAAGGCTCTTAAATTTAAATTCTGAGTCTGTGATCTATCTCGCTGAGCCAACCCATAACAGGAGGGAAAGTCACTTGGGATCAAAAGTTCACATTATGCTCAAGGCAGTAACACACTAACTGAACTGTGGCCCCATTTCATTTGCATTCTGCCTGGGCTCCTGAGCAGAAACCTAGGGGATCTTCTCCAACTGTGGACCCTGAAGGATGTGTTGAATGCCTGATGTGCCATGGTTCTAAGAGGTGTGCACGCCACTGCTTTTGGGAGACGGAGACATGTCCAAGATGCACATTGACTTCTCAATATTCCCTGCTATTTGGTGTGAAGCTGCCTGCCACTGGTTCAGCACCTCCTCCTCTTGCTCCATCTCAGCCTGGGATTCATGCACCACGGAACTATGTGCGAGTCCAGACCACGTCTGGACAGAGCTGAGCCCCGCTGCCTCAGCATCACAGGTTGAATTTCGATCTGTTTATTTATTTCATTTTTTTAAAAAAAATTATGTTTTTATTGATTGTAGAGAGAGTGGAAGGGCGAGGGAGAAACACAGAGATGAGTTTGGGTATTGTGATTGATCATGTCAAGGAGAGTGGGGGAG